AGTTTTAAACGGAAAAGTTTACTTATTCTAACAAACATTGCATTAATATTATTAGATTGAATTAATTAAGTTTATGGAAAGTTTTTTTTCTTTCTCTGAAATGGTGTAATATTATCACATCAACTTTCAATTGGTTTCTGCTTTTTATTTATTGCCACCCACAATTCGCAAACAAAAAACAACACCAACAACCAATGAGAAACAATAGATCACGAGCAATACAATTGTTTATTTTTATGGTCGCCATAACAACAAATACAAAATATTTTATATTCAATTAGTTTCTACTTTGTTTAATTTCATAAAAAAATAATTTAATTTTGTTTTTATTTTGCTATTTTGTTTAGAGTTTTAAACGGAAAAGTTTACTTATTCTAACAAACATTGCATTGATTTTATTAGATTGAATTAATTAAGTTCATGGAAAGTTTTTTTTCTTTCTCTAAAATGTTGTAATATTATTTTTTTTGTACGAAAAAGTTTAATGCAGTTAGAGATGATAGATATTTTGTTTGAAATTTTTGCACTTACCATCTTTGTTCATGCTGGCTTGAAAGCACTTGTGAAGTCTGCAGGCTCTACACTGATTCCTGTGCGTCTTGTCGACGGGACAGCGGCCCTTCATGTCGCCCGTCGCTTTGCAGGTGTACACCCTGTTTCGATGGATGCTGCGTTTGAAGAATCCGGAACAACCTGAAAATCCAATTCAGATGTAATTTGAATAAAGTTATATAATTTGAATTGCATGCAGTAATGATAAATTAAACTTTGATTTTAGTTGTGTGTCACGAATATTTGATCTGGTTCTTAACATTAAATAGTCCAGATTTATATATTGTAATGTAAAATACATGAATGTGTTCTCACCGTCGCAACTGTAAATCCCATAGTGTTTTCCGGAACTCCGATCACCGCACACCTTGCAGGGAATATCAAGTAGTCTGTCGCCTGAAAAGTTAACAAGAATAATAGAAGGATAGATGATAGCATTTGTTAAAACTGATTATTTTGAAATAAGGTAATTTTTTATAATTTTTGTATTTTGTATTTCAAATAGGGATGAGTTTGGTGAAGAAGAGATGATGTTTTGTGGACTTGTTTATTTCTTGGCTGCAAGAGATGGTTGGATGGATGGAGTATTTAGCACGCGTTGTTGTCGTTTGCAAACCAACTGTGGACACTGGAGGGAATTCACACAAACAGATCCGATGGTAATCCTCTCCTCTCGCCTGGACGAAATCCCCTTTGCCAGTCGAGAATTTACACATCAAAGGAGGACATTCGAAGACAAATAGGTGGATAACATATATATATCTACGTTTCTACTTGTGTATGTATATATATATATATATATGGACAGTCTGGTTTTGATCGTTTTCTTTTCATTGTTGAAGATGATCGGATTCATTCATTACCTGTGCCCATCCTCCGGCCTTGGCCAGAGCGAACTTTTCCCCAGATGGAGGAATCAATTTTGGAGCCGTCGATGGTTGGGTGGATGCGCCGGGCGCCCGCTACTATTTCCACCTGCACGGACGAGCGATAATGGTTATGATGATGATGAACACAGGTGAGTGATGACTGCAACTGAAGTTACGTAAGCGCGTAAGGTGGTAATTGTGACGACGGTTGGTAGGTGGTGGTGGTTGCGTAGGCGGCGATGGTGCTGTGTGCGGAAACGCGACTATCCGACTGATCGGCGGAGGCCGCTTTTCCACCGGCCCCGTCCGCAGGCCATTTTGTCATGTAACCCCCCTACCTTTCGCGCGGAGTGGGGGTGACTCCGACCACCCCCAAACACACACACACACACACGCGCTTCGCACTCCAACCCCTCCAACACGCCGCCAGACATAGTTCTACCCTTCTCCCGACACACACACACAAATACGAAAGAAGAAGAAAAAAACAACATACACGTATCTTGGGTTGCACAACAATACTCCCACAACAACTGGAAAAACGTCAACCGTAAACTTCTTTTTCCTCTTTTATTTCGTTGCTCTTTTATTTTTATCTTTCTTTTTACACAACTCATGCAACATCTCAATTGATTACGTAAAACCTATTAATTACTTTTTGTACAGTGAAATAATTAACTACGAAAAACGATAATTTTGTCCCTTTTTTTTTGAGGCTTCAATTAGTGCGGTGTTATTAGTATGCGCACTTCTCACTATGGAGTTGAGTGTGGAAGGCTCTGAGTGTTCTTGCGGTTTATGGGAGACAGCAAGTGCATAAAAAAAAGTAATCAAGACAGGCACAAAGATACAAATGAAACACACGAAACAGAACATTCAAGTCTTCATAAATAAATACAACAACATATTTTCATTGAAAACTAGAGATTCCAACAACTAGGACACAATTGGCCGATTTTTGGAGGATAAAAACTAATTTTTTATTATTAATTGAATTATACAATTCTATGTTATATCATTTAAAATGTATGGTGGAGGCGCTAGGTTTAATTTGTTCATTTTCAATTAACGATTGCTTTTGTATTAATAGTAATACTAATGTAATTTTTGAATATCTAATTAAAAAAAAATAGATCAACTTAATTAAACTTTGCATAGATTTTTTTTTTGTTTGCGATAATTGCTGAACTTGTTTTTAAATTATAAATTTTGAAAAGCTGCATTTATCTTGAATTAATAATTAATATTTTTGCAAATGTTATCGAAGAAGCGTTGATGTGTTTGTTATTGAATATAAACCAAAAATTGATTGCGATGTGAAATGTTTAACAAACAAAATTTTCAAAAAGAAAAAACTGGTATGAATTTATAATCGTCGATAAGCGTTAACTAACAAACAGAGCGATATTGCATTAAAATCCGAGAGTTTAATTAAATTGCAAATGAAATGGCCGATTGATGATTAGATAGAGAGAGAGAGAGAGAGAGGTGGTAAAATTGATTGATCCGGTTTTACAAGAGGATTTACATTACATCGAAAAAAGTTCTCTTTTTCCTTCAATCGAAATAAAAAGAATGATGTGCGTAGTTTCGGTATGTGTAGTGTGGGTGTGTGTGTCTTTAGTCTAAGTGGCAGGTTGTAATCCCATTGTTGTGCGAGAGAAGAGGATTTTGTGTTGGAAATGAACTCCAGTTGAAATATTTAACCAGAGCACATTTCAGGCTTCAGCTGAACCGAGAAGCTATGTGACTGAGGCTGACGTTCACCTCCGACGTCGTTCTGCGATTGGTCGAACGGTGAGAGGCGAGGCCACGCCCAGAGTCGGGCGAACCACGCCAAGTCGTTACGCCCATGTGCGGAGTTCCCACACTTTACAACCACGGGTCACTAGATACAGGTCCGATTTACTGCCTCACACCCATCACCACCACCATCGCCCCCCACCCCATCCCTCTTGTCTCCCACCTTTTCAACGCTCACACACACACAAAACTGGAACCATAAACACGCAGACACCTCGGGATTATGAGATACGGATGAGGATGGACGCGGCAACAACTTATGACCATTCACTCGTATTTCCTTATTTCCTCATTTTATTGCAGCCTCGGAAAACAACCCGACATTAATATATTTTTTTTTTAACTCTCTGACATAAATTACAAGAGAAACATCAGAAGCAGCTTTCAGTCAATTCATATTTACTTCTCAATATTGCTNAAATTAATTATCACTTTTGATATATGCAAATATTGTTAGCGATTTTTACATCATTCTTGCGAGCTTTCCAATCGGTGACGCTTTGTGCGTTCAAGTGTACATAAGGAGTAAGAATTTCCGGTTTCCGGCGCCGATTTAAACGATTATAATATTATTATTATTGCTTCCCCTTTCGTTTGCAACCAAAAATCTAGACAAGATTTCGTCTTAATTCTAATTGGAGTTCTTACGCATTTAAAAATCAAAATATTTATATGATTGTGATTTTAGTAATTCATTTATGCTTTTCTATATTTTCAGAAAAACGGTAGTAAATAAGGTATGTGTATGCTATTTCTTTTTTGATCAATTTGTTTTCAAAATATTTATATGATTGTGATTTTAGTAATTCATTTATGCTTTTCAATTACAAAACAATTGTGATTTGATCAATTATATACAAAATTAATTATCACTTTTGATATATGCAAATATTGTTAGCGATTTTTTACATCATTCTTGCGAGCTTTCCAATCGGTGACGCTTTGTGCGTTCAAGTGTACATAAGGAGTAAGAAGAGGAGGAGGAGGAGTGAACGTGTAAGCCTTTCCAGAGGATGGTTTCTTGAAGAAGCAAAGGGTTGTCGAAATGGGGTGAAGAAATGGGATGAGATGGTGGCGAACGACAAGATCTCTGTGCAAACTTAGTCCGAGCAAACCCTTTCGCCGCACCATCAAACTTGGGATTACTAACTTATTGCTAGGGTTGAAAGTTATTTAGAGTGGGCTATATATATATATATTGCGAGAGAGCAACTGTCTTCCATTAATAATACGAAAGAGCGGATCCTTCGAGTTGCGAACGAGTGAGAGAGATGAATGCAAAACGAAACGAAAAAGGAGAAGAAGAGAAGAGTCGAGAGCAACAGAAAAAAAAAATGGAGTTACCACTCCCACCCACACATACATACACAAAGAGAGTAGAAGCACACGAAAATATCGATTCGTCGTCGGTTCTTTTTTCACTTTCGCACGGAAAATTACGCTCCGGTAGTCTCAACAAAGAGGAACGAACAAAAAATCCGAAACGAAAAACGATAACGAAGGATAAATGCGTTTGAAAAAAAAAAGGAATCGAGTTAATTTCCAATTAGCCAACGATGATCAACGAAAAATATTGTACGCTGTTTGTTATAAGTTTATTAACTTGTCTAATAGTGATTTTTTTTTTCCTAAAATTTCTATATATTCAATTATTATACAATGGATTGTTGTATTGTGTGATGGTGTGCAACTTGTAAAGGCGATTCGATTGTGGGCAAACAATGTTGTAATAATGTGGTGTACGGGAAATCTGGATCCAATTAAAATGTAGTCCGCTAACTTATTTAGTTAGCAGATTAGCAGCTCACAGGAGGTGTGTTTGGATCATCTGAATCTCAAATGTCCGTCCGGAATGTTTGAGGATGAGCACGAGAAGAGGGAGGATGTGTGGACATACGGTCTGTGCGGGATTTGCTCGCGTAATGATTTCAAAATAGAGTCGGATTAGTTTTGGGGATGTATATGATGGGTGGAAGAGGATGGACGGGGGATGGGGAAATGTAGGGTCATCGCCAATATTTATCGAAGGTAATGGGGAGAGGAGATGTAGGTGAGCCGTTAAGAATTGATCTTCGCTTCGGATGATAGCGCGGAGGGGACGGACGAAATGTCCGAGTTCAAACATGATACTCGTGTGTAGGGATGTGGACACACCATCTCCCAATTTTCGGTGGGATTCGGACAGAGCGGAGGATGCGGCGCGGGGGGGTGTAGGGTTTGGTAGCGTGCGACCGTTGACACGTCGTCCCTAATCCTGCGGACGTGTCTTCCGCCCTGACCCGAGGCCTGTTGATGTCAACACACCGCCATCATGTCACAAGCACGCTGGATTCGCGACAAGAAGAAAGAAAACAACAAAAAAAAATGAACGAGAATCGAACATTCGCACTCGCTCCCTCCAAACTAATAATCGCTTAATCCCTTTTTACTTCGAGTGCTAATAGAAGCCACGCGGCTCAGGATTGCATTTCCATTGTGTAATTGTTGGTCTCCGGTTCTGCTCTTTTCTTTTCCTCTTTACTTCTTTTTATTTCTCATTCAACATCCTCTTCAGCTAATTTAACCCCGAAATTCGACACGCGCCTAAAGACAATATTATCCATTTTAAAACGCGCAATCCTCGCACACACCCCATGTCTTTTTCTGTTTGCCAATAGATGAATGCAAACCAAATTATAAAATCAAACGTCTGCAAATAATTTACTACTTGCTATTGTTATATAATTTTTTAATTAATATTATTTAACAATTTATATTAATTTGTTTTAGTTAATGAACGATGATTCGGATCATAATCAAGTTTTCTTCGAATGAGAAATACAGTTTACGTATGAAGCAAAGATCTACATTTTCATCCGCGCTGCGATTGTTTCAGGTGAGTTTGTTATTTTTTTATTGCCGCGAAAACCGAAGACGTCGAGATTTTTGTGATTTTTAGCGAACTCAATTACGCGACGTGCGTTTCCGCCCTCAAGCGCGCACACGGCCACCCTTGTTTTTACAAGGTGTATTGCACAGTTGTTCTTCTCTACCTACAACTACATGCAGTGATGGTTGTTTAAATATATACATATATAGGAGAGGAAAGAGAGATCTCGGGTTTACTTTTGTTTTTATTATTTTTTTTGCCTTGGTTACTGTTACGGAAAAATCAATATGCACATTATGTTAACGGTTTCTTTTTCTGTTACTTCTACTCGTATATCTTTTATCTCTCTCTCTTTGTATGGAAACGTGAGGTAAACGTAATGCAAAGATAAAATTCATCTCTTTTTCTCTCTGCTTCTCGCTGCGTGTACATTAAAGTATATCCATTTAAATAATGATGTCGCGATGGTGTTGGTGGTGGCTAATGGAAGATGATGACACTGTCACTAGGTCTGAGTGGAGCACTTCCTCAAGAGGGTTTCTACTCAATCCCACCACTACCATTGTCTGCACTCTCTCTATCTCTCTTTATCTCCCTCATCCTCCCCTCATCCTTCTCCTTCTTCGCATTCGCACTCGACGACGGCCCGTGACAAATGAACACCTAACAACTTATCAATGGTTCTTCCAGCTCCCTCCCCTGTCTCAGACTACTCAAAGATTAAGATCTGGATGCGGATATGATAATGCCCGCAAATCCATCAACGACACCCTCACACCATCACCATCTTCTCTCATTCACCTTCCTCTATCATCTTCACCCTATTTCGCGACCCTCAATTACCAGTCGTGTCACGTGTTGCTGCACCATCGCCCACTCGAAATGTACGGACAAAAGAAAAACAAGTGATCCTTTTAATTGAAACAAATCTCGGGTCACGTGTCGACACGCCACTCAATAGATTTGGGGAGAAAGAAAGATAAAAAGGGGTCACATAGAAAGTGAACACGGATACAAATCACAAATAATGCAAAGTTCATATGTAAACACTATATTTTTAAATCACACGTTTTGTTATTCAAGAATATTCTATACGTATTTAATTACATTTTCAAAAACAGAATATTAACGCTTCTTTTCATCACATACTGTATTAGAATTCATTAAAATTCATTTTTTATAAATAAATATATAATAAATTTTGAAGTGAAAAAGATGCGAACTACTTTAATTAGATAATTACAATAATTATTATATAGTATGAATATTTTTAGTAATTTCTAAGACTACTGATTCTTGAAATGTGAATTTTCCCCTGGTAGAAAACGCCGGATGTTCGAGTTATATAAAAAGTGAACAGCTCTTTGAGTGTGGGTGCATGTTTGGGAGGAGAGGAGAGTTGAAATAATAACACGTCAGGAGATGTTGGCAAAAAAAAGGATGGGACACGAAAAACAAAAGCGAAATGATGGAGGAATATCGCAATAAAAAAATAGGCCGTAGGGCGCGAAGGTTGGAGAGTATGGAGAGAGAGAGAGATGAGATTTAATTAACGCGAGTGATGTAAATTGCAATTAATTGTGCTATCCACGTGTGTGAGACTGGTGCCACGTGTTTCCGAAAGCGAGGATGGGGATGAATGATAGAGGTGAAAAAAAAAGAGAGAAGAAAAACAAAATGCTGTTGTGAAAACAAAAGGTTTCGATGTCGCCGAAGGGAGGAGGTGGAGGAAGGGATGAAGTGGACGGGACCGGTGATGTGCATTAATCTATCGGGAATTACGTCATTACGGAGGGCGGTGATCAGGAAGTTATGCGATGCTCGAAGGATCAGAAGGGATGAAAGGAGATGGATAATAGGTGAGTAGATGTGGAGAGACGGAGATGGAATAGTAGTGGTGGTGGTGGTGGGGTATCATCTGCAACTGTTCCCATTGACTCACCTCAGCTGATGCCGTACCCAGCCAGGATTAGGACAGGATGAAGGAGACGTACGATGTGTGTGTGTGTGTGTGTGTATGCGTTTGTGGCTTTGGCAGCTTCCATCCGCCGTCAAACGAAATAAACGTCTTACGTGAACCGTTAAACACGCAACGATCACAACAAATGAATGAATGCACGCGCTTTTCCGAACCATCATCACCATCATCGTGATCGATCCGAACTCTCGGAAAAGCGGCTTACAACTTTTAAACATCTATCACTGCGCATTTAAATCTCGTTCCTCCACCGCACCTTTTCATCATCATCATTGGCAACATCAAAGATCCCTTCATTCATTCAAATTCATTCTCTCGCAAATTATACACCGTTTAACTTTCACCGTTCAGCAGCGTAAATAAATCAAAAGACCGATTCGAATAAATTTGCTTTACTCTCTACACTCTTCTTCTACTTGCTGAAATGAAATTACGCAAAATTACAAAATTAAGCAACAAGAAGAAAACATTTTGACAGAGAGAAAGAGAGCTCGGATTAACAGTTCTCAGCTCACTTTGATGTAATTAGATGTAAATGCATGCTTCATTTACGCTTTCATCGATACTTTACGCAAATTACCATAAATTATTATTATTATTATTAGTATTCCAGTTTACTAATTTTATCTTCTCTCAAAATTACGTTTCATTATGCTCCAATTGAAAATTAATTATCGTTAATTGTAAATTTACATAAAATTAATCAACTTTTTTTTTTATCTCATAATTCCGTAATAATATTTTACATTTTATTCATTTTAAACAAATAAAAAGTGAAGTAGTTACACAAATTATTTATCAATAAATTAAATTAATGCATAAGCAATTACAATTACTAAGTAGTAGATTATATAATAATTATATTTAAAGAAAAGTAGTATATGCAACACAACTTGCATTATGGAACAATAATCCATGGGATTACATAATATCTCTTTCAATTTACTTTAATTAATTAAATCGTCTAATTGGATAGTTTAATAATTAATAATGTAACGATAAATTCAAATTGGCTGTTAAGTAATATATGCAAACAAGTAAACAAATAAAATTCATCTATAAATAAATCGAGCTATCGTCCTGCAGATGGCGCTCACTTCTTCAGATATAGTCTTTTATTTATACATTCAGTTTGAATATTTGCATTGTGTGAAAGCCAATTTAAATGATAATTTTGGTCGCCTGTATCACAAAAATCTGATACGAAAGGTCGTTGGTTCAATTCCGAAAATCAACAAAAATTTGTGGTGGCTGTTAAACCCGAAAGGGGTAGTAATAGGGCCGGAGAGATTTATATCAATAAATAAATTGATATAAAACTCTTTAAAAAAAAAAATGATAATTAATGTAGGGGATGTAGATATTATAAGTTGATCAAGTTTTGAAGTAATTAATATTCTTTATTAGATATATTATATAAATAGCTCTGCAATTAATATTAAATATGTTTTAATAAATATAAATATATGTGCATTTGTATCTAATATTAAGCACTAGTAAATTCTTAATTTGTTGATCTCGGGTTGATTGCGGTTGTTTTTTTTTATAGAAGATTGTGTTACATTTGGGGCGTTATTGTGAACTCGTGCGGTCTGTATCTTAAGCCGCTTATGTCCAGACGGTTTGAAGAAGGGGCGATGTTCGGTGGGCAATAGTTGAGCGAAGGACCGAGGAAACCGCACGTCTGATGATGATGATTCAGATGATGATGATGGTTTAGGTGATTTCCTCCGATCGTCGTGTTCGCGTAAAGATCTTCCTGTCCGTAATGACCGAACTTCCACGGAGGCATCACGTACTGAAGATCGGTAGAACCTTGCGCGTAAATCGGTTGCTCCTGAGGATCCGAACGGATACCGAACGACGACGGTGTCTTTGATAATTTACCCTGTAAAGATGATGATGATGGTGCGGGTTGATGGACGACGGAAAGGCTTCTCTCGTTTCTTCTGAACTTTGCCCTGCGATTCTGGAACCACACCTGATGAAGAAAATAAATAGAAATTTGAATTTGGTAAAAAAAACATTGATTTGATTACCTGAACTCTGGCCTCACTTAAGCTGACTTTGGTTGCTAGATCTTCGCGCACGAATGCGTCCGGATAGTGCGTCTTCTCGAAAACCCTCTCGAGGGCAGACAGTTGGGCGGTCGTGAAGGTCGTCCTGTTGCGTCTAGGTTTCTTGTGTTTATCCCTGTCGGAGCCGCCGCCACCACCGTCGCACACAAAATCTGCACAGAAAAAAAAACAAACGTCGTCTAAGATGAAATGAGTCGTCGGCATGTGATGATGATGATGATTGTTATGAATCGGGATCGGCTTACAACTGGGTGTAGGAGGAGACAGAGGAGGAGGAGGAGGAAACGTGCGACACAAGGGAAGAGTATATAACTCATTGAGACCGACAGGCGGCCGTTTGATCTGCTCCTCTCTTCTTGCGAAAGACAGAGAGAGAAAGAATGAAAAAGAGTGAAACGTAAGAAGTGGAAGATCTTTGGACCAGAAACGGATCGGTTTATCATTCACTAATTGCATGATGCATTGCGTTTAAAGCGACGTCGTCTGCTCTCGCACATGCACAAACGCATCCAAGTGTCTCGAGATCTCTTGGCACCGTTTCCATGGAAATAACAAACAAAAAAAAGTGAAAAATGAACAAACGAAAACGGCCATCTCCGATTGCGATTTCGCTTAGGGGTGTTGATCGAAACAAGATAATTATAAAAAAAAAATATACTAATTAGTTAAAATTAACTAATCTAATTATTTAAATTGACATGAATAATGAAGTAGTAACACGTGTAAGATTTCAACACGAATTTGTATGCAATTATGTATTTCCATACGTGTAAATCAAATTGTTATTGTTCTTTAATAATAGTTATTTGCACGATAATTGCATTCGCAATAAGAATGTCACATTAGCGCTAGTTAATAAACAATGAATCATTGGAAAATCGTGAAAAGTCAGGGAGTAAAATGAGGAAATTTTCATTACATACATACAATTAGAAATGTTAACAATAATTTATGTTGTGATTTATAAAATTCGTTCGTTGCAATTTCTATGCAAGCGCAATTAGAGCGACGAAACTTTAAACGTAATTAATCTTGACTAAAGTTGATGCGAGACGGGACGGACGTTTCCTCAACGCGAACTCATTAATATCGGATATTTGCGGCCGTTTAAATATACTGCAACATATTCATTTGTTTTACATGATGCATTGTCGAATCCTAAGTGTTTGTTTCGGTTTTTCGATGTTGCTATTTCGAGGTTTTATTTGTGACACTTAAAAGTTTTTTTTTTAAAGGTTGTTCAAAATGCAATTAAAACAGGGTGGCGACAATAAAAGTTATCTGCTGTATACTAATTAGTGTACAGAATATGTTCGCGCTTTGAAGTGCTTTTGGACCATCTAAAATAAGTGAATAGTATAAGTGGAGCAGTAAAACGGAATCTCCACGTCTTCTGATGATGGTGATGGAAATGGGTTTTCGTGGAAATTCTGCCGCCGTCGTAAATTACATCATCCCTACGCACCAGTACATAACTCATTACATCAGATCCATCCATGAAACTAAGTTTTGTTTTCACTTCACCTGTTTCAGCGAGATGTAATGTAATAATTATTTTTTTAATTTATTTCATTGAAAATTTTTAGTAGTTGCAAATTGATGAGATCAATTGAGTGTTTGATGTAAGTTTACTTAATTGGAATGGGAAAACAAGTGTAATATTGTTGATTTTGAATGATTCTTAGTTTTTAGATTAAGTTACCATCGATGTTTGTTGATGATGGATCGACGATGTCCAAAGATCTTTTGTGTCCGAGCCTCAGAAGATTGGTTACCGAAAACTGTCGATTGTTATCGGAATGTCCACGTAAGCACTCTTGATCTACCGTCGCCGACGTTGATTCGCCGTATCCGCCGCCGCCGCTGCAGATCATGATGGTTTTCGCAATTATTGCTAGCACTTATTTTGAAAGCGGCCGTCGCCTCCAATAAACTCTCCTCTTCAAGTTTTAATTAGGACCAAAGAGCTGCTGCACTCGACTAAACGAAAAAAAAAAAGGAGAGAAGAAAAGAAATGGAATTCCTTCTTAAGTCGCCTTTTAATTCCTCTTCACCGCGTGCGTGTGTGTGTCTTTGGCGCGCGCTTTCGCCCTCTCCTTCGCACCCGCGTCTATCCCAATCCGTGTATCCAAATTGATATTAATGCGATGTTTATGAAAATGTTAATCTAATAATGCCGACCACTAAGAGATTCCGACTAACTAACCAAGCCGCCTCGATTGCCAAGACTCGCTAAGTCATATTTTAGTGGGCTTAGTTGGCGCAGCATCCCCACTCTACGAACACACACACACCCCTTCTGATGATGACGACGAAGATGACGACGACGATGAACGGAGGCGACGACGAAGACTTTTATTTTTTTCGAGAAAGAGAAAAAAAGGGGGCGGATTTAGGCAACGAAACAACTTACTTAACTTCCATCTCACTCTCGCTGTCTACGCTTAACGATTCAACTTTAAATTATCACCTTCCTAATTGGCCGGAATCAGTTGGGGCAGAGAGGAGACTCGACGCCGCCGCCGCCGCCCAGATTTATCTCCCTTTCCGGATGACATCTCTTCTGCCTTCGCCTTTTGCTTTATTCAATTGGACCATTTCACAGCATCAACAGTACCAAGATTATCGAAGGAAGCATCTCTAATCTAATTACGAAAACGTATTTTTCAACGTTATAATTCGGCGTGTCATAAAAGAAGCGTTACCAATTTCCATTAGACGCTTCACAAAAACACAGTTATATAATTCAATGTTTGGATGTCACTTTCGTTCCTCTTGCATTTTCCAATTGGAGCATTGAAGGAAACATCTCTAAATTTAATTAAGTTAACAATTTGTGACGTTTCATAAAAGATTCATATTTGTGACGTTTTATAAGTCAAATTTTGGATGGTTACGACTGTCAAATAAAAATTGTCATAACCTTAATCAGTTCGTAATTTAGTCTAAATATTTTAAGTATTCTCACCTCAACAGATAAAATAATAATAATGATTTTTAAACAAAAATAGTAACGAATGTGGAAAATTTAATATAATTTGATGATTTATTAATATAACCTCAGTATCTGAGAATAATGGCGTTCAAATATAATGATAACGCTTCTTTTATGACACCTATTCGCGTTTGAATCGAAACAATCAATCAGATGATGATTATTTGTTGGGGTGAAATCGGGGAATGGAAAAAAGGGGTTCAATCTATTAATCACATTTTCGTTTCATCAAGTCCTCTTTATTTACTCTTTCAACCCTTTTTGCTGATACCGAATAGAAAAAAAATATATTTGTTGCGATACATTTCTATTTATTTATTACCTTTTTTTCGCGCTTTGTTTGTTCATTGATTATTTACGTAAATCAGTTCGAGCCCCTATATAGAAATGCATCGAATGCGCACCCTTCTTCATCAACATCGTTCAAACTCGTCGTTATTATTTGTTGAGGTCGGAAGTGTGCGGTAGAAGCGACGGCGGCCGGTGTAGGTAAACGCGCACCGCCGAAGAATTGTAATTGTAAAGTGTGATTTTATGCTGGTACCAGTAAACGCGCACACCTTTTACCTTTTTTTCTTCATTCACTTTCAGTCGATTCGACGTTCATAATAATGATGATGATGTTGTTGAAGTCTGAGCGCGTGCGGGCTGCCCGCTGCAACTGAAACTATTATCATTCATTAAAAATTGCACACAATTTAATAGCAACCGCAACAGCAGCTGAAGAGGGTTTCGCTCTGCAAAAACTAACGCAACTAATAGATTTCGAAACGGATAATCGATACATCCATTTATCAAACCGAACGATTATCCGGCGGTTAAAATTTTGCAAAAACGGGATAATAGCATTTTTTGACGTTTTATACGTCAAATGAAACAGGATAATAATACGGATTTCTTGATTCCCTTTTTAGAAAATGAAGCAACGACAAAGCAAACGAATATATATAAAAAAAAATGTTGGAAATCAAAGCATCGTTCGTTAAGTTCGTTCCTTCGGTTCGTCTTCTTCTCTCGCTTTGGTCGGACGTGCGTATAAATCTTCGGGATTTGCAGCGCGCGCTCTCTGATTTATCTCGTGTGCCACCAACTTTAATCTTTTCGACCTAAAAATATTTTTGCAAAAAGGAAATTCTCTTTACTCTGTTTTGTTTTTCTTTATTTCATCCGTATCAAACACTGATCATACAAAGAGTGTTGATGTTACAAAGAGTATTTAGTTCGGTCAAAACATCTGTTTTTCAACTCCACATGTCACAATTCCTCCATATTCTATTCAGCAATCTATATAATTGCCAATTTAACTTCTATTGTTGTGATATCTGATCTAAATGTGATTTGATGGAAATCTCTAAATGATAAAAATAAGATATTAAATTAGTATGCATCAATTCACTCTTTATACTTTCCTTCCAGATCTCTTTCATGGTAACACTCTATAAATCACTTTAATTTTAACACTTTTTCATCACTTCATTTACAAACTCTTTACATAATTGTTTTTTCTAGTTCCCAGTATTTAGTCTAACACTTCCCCACTGCAACTCTTTTTATTTTTGTTTTAAATTTATTTTCTCTCCTTACTTTAGATGATCTCATTTTCATAATTATACTTGTTCTAAAGAATTAAGATATGAAGTAATGTCAAATATCTCAATGACGTTTCATACGTCATATTTTGACGTTACGCAACTGTCAAATGAAAACTGTCATAACCGTAACAAACAAAAGAAAAATAATGGAGGTTAAAGGAAATGTGTCAATGTTAATGAAAATAATGAAATAATGTTAAAAAGCGATTAAAGAAATGATTGATTACGCGTGTATTGCGTTGTGCGAATAATACGGAGGAAGCGTGTAAATGTACGGTTAAACTTGGCGCTCTTTAATGAGGACTAATTATGAGTGTAGGAGTAAAGCACTTTTTTGTCTCTTTCTGTCTTGTGGTGGTTTGATGAGGATGGAGAGAGCTCGAGTTTTCTCATATGGCTTGTTGCTCCCCGTTATGCTTTTTAATAGAAGAGTAGAGAGAAGTTGTAGGTAAATTTAGACATGTGGCCGTGTCCCCCGGGTGACAGTTACAGATGTGGCGTTTAACTGCGGCGAAGAGACAAGACGGATGTCTGCCACGGCGAAGACGAAGAGTTTCCATGATTGGTTGGAATCATCAAAAAAAAAAAAAACATCTACAACGTCAAGTCGAGATGAGAAGACATCGAAGAGGAGGCGAGATCGAAGCGACCTCTTCTAACTTCCTGCTCATCTTCGTTGCTTATTTTTCAGGTATTTCCGGAATGCCGAATCCGTTTAGGTAACAATTAGCAGTCGCATTCTTTCGTTGTCGTGGAATGTTCAGAGTACGATTCGGAGGTCGTAAATCATGCGAACCATCATCGACTTTGTCCGACGACTACAACGACGATGATGATCTTCGGTCTGTGACATTCGGTGGCACGCATCACTTGTTTGAGGAGGATGTCATCCGTCTCGTCGTTCCGCCCGTTCGTGGGACGGTCTTGGCTCTGCAGAGACGCCTTCACTTCATCATAATCATCATCATCGCCATCATCCTTCCTTCCTTCTTTCTTCTCAACTATTTTCTTTTCGTTTCACATCGGTTTTCTGGCATTGCTTTACGGACGGGAATAAACCATCTTCAAAAACAAAATGAAACAAACGAAGAACGTAAATATGACAAAGTCAACGGTGATGACAAATCTCGCCCACTTGATATGATGATACGTAATAATCTTCGGGAGAGCGGTTTCTTCATTCTCTAGTAATCTATTTATATATTTACACACACACACACAGATATATTCACCTTAACTTAATGTCTGTTTAAACATCGTTACTTTGACTCCAGATCTTTCCTCTCAACAGTACGATAAATCATTCAAATGATATATTAACTAACCCAAGATTAGGTATTTCTCGACACTTTCATCATTCCAATTACTTAAATCTTTATTAATTAATCACATTTATGTTTTCATTATGCAACATATTCAATTTGCAATATGATTACACAATAAAACAAACATCAAAGTGACGTTTCTCAAATATTTCGTATTCCAAATCTCAATAAGATCACTTCTAATTATTACTTTTATCATAAAATGTTCAATGTTAACACGTATATTTTAACCAATTTCATCATCTTACATAAATAGATTTCACAAACAACAACTGTCAAATGTCAACTGTCAAAGTGAAGTATGTTAAATCTTTCGAATTCGAATTCTCGATAAGATAACTTCTAATTATTATTTTTATAATTATATTTTCAATGTTTACACGTATATTTTAACCAATTTCAGCATCTTACACAAATAGATTTCACAAACAACAACTGTCAAATGTCAACTGTCAAAGTGACGTTTGTCAAATCTTTCGCTTTCGAAATCTCGATAAGATAAATTCTAATTATTACTTTTATCATAAAATGTTCAATGTTTACACGTGTATTTTAACCAATTTCATCATCTTACATAAATTGATTTCAGAAACAACAACTGTCAAATGTCAACTGTCAAAGTGACGTTTGTCAAATATTTCGCATTCGAAATCTCAACAAGATAACTTCTAATTATTACTTTTATCATAAAATGTTCAATGTTTACACGTATATTTTAAACAATTTAACCATCTTACATAAATAGATTTCACAAACAACTACTGTCAGATGTCAACTGTCAAAATGACGTTTGTCATATCTTTCGCATTCGAAATCTCGATAAGATAACTTCTAATTATTACTTTTATAATTATATTTTCAATATTTACACGTATATTTTAACCAATTTCATCATCTTACATAAATAGATTTTACAAACAACAACTGTCAAAGTGACGTTTGTCAAATATTTTGCATTCCAAATCTTAATAAGATAACTTCTAATTATTACTTTTATAATAAAATTTTCAATGTTTACACGTATATTTTAACGAATTTCATTATCTTACATAAATAGATTTCACAAACAACAACTGTCAAATGTCAACTGTCAAAATGACGTTTGTCAAATCTTTTGCATTCGAAATCTCGATAAGATAACTTTTAATTATTACTTTTATAATAAAATTTTCAATGTTTACACGTATATTTTAACCAATTTCATTATCTTACATAAATAGATTTCACAAACAACAACTGTCAACTGTCAAAGTGAAGTTTGTTAAATCTTTCGCATTCGAATTCTCGATAAGATAACTTC